TAATAATCAAATGACTTAATAAAACAATACCCTATAAGCGAAAGACCATTTATATACTTTACCTAAATGTATCGAAAATATATATGTTAAAGAGTACATTTTTCAGAGAAATTCATGAATATTAAATATAAATTATAAAACGAATCCGAAGGATAAAAATATAAATATCATATGTTATATCATTTATATATATAGCGATTTCCTAGGGATTATATTTGGTTTGCAAATCGTGTGAAGTGATTATGCAAAAAATGTCACTAAAATACGAATATTTATCGGCATTTATTTAAAAAACGTTACTAAAAATACCGCTAAAAATTCATTTTGTTGTGGTGTGCAACCATTAAGGCTCTTGCATATGCCTTCAAATCTATTGTAGATACCATTTTCTCTACGCATCTCTCCACTACATTTCTTCCTTTATTATTATTTTTTTTATTTTTTATTTATCATAATAATAATAATTATTGATAACTCATCACCATATCAATGGCATAAAATTCTTTAAACAGATATTGCTTTGTATTTATTTCAGATTAATCAAAAGGTAATAATTCTTCATTTAAGAATTAAATATTATTTAGTTCAACATTATTAATTCTTACATTTATGTCAATAAATTAATAAATTTTATTCACGTCATTTGAATTAATATTTAATTAGCTTATTAAAATATAATTAATTTATTATATAGTTTTTGTTATAATCAATGACTAATTGGTGTTTGGGAGAATATTCATGACTCAGCATTGAATGACTACACGTGGCGAAATCTAGTGAATCCACAGCCAGCGTGAAGTCACATTGTTTAAAGAATATAATATATTATTATTTTATTTCCTCTACTTGAATCATATGATTGAGGACATGGACTTAAATAAAATATTAATTGAGGTGGTTTGAAACTTTTGAGATATTAACATGATTTTTATCATGATAAATATTAGGGTAAACTATGCATTCGGTACTTTAACTATAATATTTTATTTCGTTCGATCATCAATTATTATTTTTTAAATCTTACCTAACGTTATGTTTTGTTTTGACCACCATGTTAAATATTTAATAGCTCTGTTGACGTAATATTTTTAAAAAAAATCAATAATGACATGACATTACTTCATGAAGATACGTCAATATCACCGTTAATTTTTTAACGGTGGATGACTAAAATGAAATCAATACATAACGTTATGTATGATTTAAAATGACAAATAGTTTGATGACCAAAATAAAACAAAAATGATAATTGAAGTACTAAACATGTAGTTTACCCTTAATATAATGATTATATTATAAATAAATAATTTATGTTACTGTACTATACCATATTACCGTTTGTGTCAACAATCAAATCTAAGAGTCAGTATCAAAATAGAAGAAAAACATAAGTTTATGAAAAAGATAGTTGAATGATTAAGAAAAAAAATACAAGAATTAGGGTAAAGTATCCGATAAATATTTATTCTAAAGAATAATATATATATATATATATATTTAGGGTAAAGTATACAAATGATCCCTCGATTATACGATGTTATTTTGTTTAGTCCCTTGATTATTATAAGTTATTAAACGGCCCCCTGACTATAGGATATTACTTTGTTGAATCCCCAGACTATTAAAAATTACAAAATGGTCACCTGACTATTTATTATATTCCAAATTTATCCTTTTTCGTTAAAAAAGTTGACAACAATCTAAGTTTTATGTTAATATGCTATCTGAGATATGATAAAATATGATCTCAGAATCTCAAACGGCTATCATATATTAGACATCAAATTAACATCTAGATCAAATCGTTTTCATTTTTTAACGGAAAAGGACGAGTTTGGAATATAATGGATAGTCGAAGACCATTTTGTAACTTTTAATAATGAAGAGACTCAACAAAACAATATACTATAATCGAGACCATTTTGTAACTCTTAATAGTCGGGGGACTCAACAAAGCAACACCCTATAGTCGAGGGACCATCTGTGTGTTTTACCCTATATTTTAATAAGCAAAGTAAGTCATTGTGGATATGCGTGATGCATGTTTTTCTAACCAACTTTTTTTATCTATTTATTTATTTATTTATCAGTGCCTTTATTTTGACTTTTAATTAATATTGTAAAACCCAAAAATCAAATTTTATATTTATTTAATTGTTATACGTGAAGAGCATATATTATTTCAAAAATTATATTTATTTAATTGTTATATGTCAAGATCATATATTATACACATACACCCTTCTAGTTCTATGAATTGTTTTTTTTATATATTTTGAATGGATGTTATAGCGTCTTCATATTCAAGCTTCCTGTAATTAATTAATAGATTTCCCGATTAAAGAAACGAGGGTTTTGGACCTAATTGCAATCTTTTCATTCAATTGGACTTAAACGTCTTTTTAATGAATAATTTTGTGTAAATTAAATTTTCCATATTACAGTTCTTAAATAATGAAAATATATGCCTAAGAATTCAACTTAATAGTCGCCGATGGATAAAACGTTAGATTTTTTAACTTTTAAGGAAGGTCAATGTTTTAATTTTGTATTATAAATTAAACAAATTGAATTGAGAGGATCATCTTCGTTTATAGTATTCGAGACCCATATTTATAATAAATTGTGATTTTTTAATCAGGGGTAAGTACAAGGCAATATATGTTCAAAGATAACTCTTAATCCTTTGACATTGAACGACCACATCCCTGACATCTATGGTGCTCGAATTTGAATCCTCTTCCTTTACTACGGAGACCACTTGGTTCGTGCTATTATATTTAAAACATATTGTGATTCTTTAAATATCTAAATTGTAAATTATTGATTAGTTAAATATGTTTGAATATATAACTTCTAAGATATTGTAAAAGTAATAAGATCAAGGGGAAATTGTGCTTTTAGTATCTAAACCATTAATTTTGGTCAATTTTAATATATAAACTTTTACTTTTTTTGAAAAAATATACTTAAAGTTTGGTTTTTATTTCATTTTAGTAACTCATCATTAAAAACTTTTATTTTTGTTTCATTAAAGTGTATCGTTCAAAGCTTAACGTTAAGTTTTGAAAAAAGATAAAAGTTTAGGTACTAAAACGGACAAAAACTGATAGTTTAGGTACAAAACAAGTTAAGTTTTTAATGGTGGGATACTAAAACATTATGTGTGATTTTGAAAAATTAAAAGTTTAGATACTAAACAGACCAAAACTGATAGCTTAAGTATTAAATGTATAATTTACCCTAAGATCAATCATACAAAGCATGTCTAAAATAAAATCGGTATAGAAACTTAATAAAAAAAAACTTAATCCACTTCGTCATCATAAAAACATATTAATTACATTAAAAGGTATTTTTAATAAAAAAAATTAAAAAAACAAAATTTATGGATCAGTACAAATTTGGATATAATCCCTAGAAAATCTTTTATCTCTAAATTTTCAATAATTATAGGATCCCTGTTAAGGCCTAAACCTTTATTAAATATTAATTGTAATAGCTTTATTCTTGCAATGTATCTCTGAGTATCTGATCTGGATTATCGATCGGGAAATTAATAAATTAATAATTAAATAAAAATATATAATATTTTTAGATTTATTACTCGTGTTTTACTTAATTAGAAAATATTTATATTTAAATTATATTTTTTATTTTTAAAACCAAGTTTGAAATCCCCAATATACAAATATATATAAACTATAATGACTACATGAATAAATAAATAAATAAATATTCAAACGAATACCTTACTCTAGATATAAGAGAGACAATTACATTTGGTCTCTAATTTAACCACTAATAAATTGAGTTAATTTTGTCTCCAATCCTTGTACCATTAGAACTTTTAAAATTTCACCCCTTTGTTTTTATTTTTAGAAATTTGATTTTTCTAATTTAATAATTAGAATCCAACCCATATCACTATTAAAGGTTCTTTCTTTAAATTTAAATCCGTGATAGTTTAATATTCAAATTTAACATAAATCAGAACTCACCAAGTGACCTTAGTGGTGGTAACATGATCATTAGATTTTGATAAATATTATAAAGTGACCATTAACTTTGTTGAAATGAATCACTATTTATAAAATCGTAAGGGCCATTTTGTAACGATTCATTAAATTTAATGACCGCTTTATAACATTTCCGAATTTTATTATGAAAAAGATCATTTTGACTTAGTTCATTAAACTCGACATACTTTATCCGAAATTTGAAATACCAAAGAATACATGGACTAGAGACATAATTAGGCCATAAGTTAAATAGAATAGTAAAAGTTTTAAATGTTTTTAGGGTAAACTACACATTTAGTACTTAAAGTTTCCGTTTTGGTCTATTTTAGTGCCTAAACTTTCATCTTTTTCCAAAACCTGCCTAATGTTTGGTTTACATTTCATTTTATATAGTATCTCGTCGTTAAAAACTTAACGTGTTTAGTACATAAACTATCAGTTTTGATCGGTTTTAGTACCTAAACTTTCATTTTTTTTCAAAATTCAACATTAAATTTTGAACAAATGTACTAAAATGAAACAAAAACTAATTTTTTTAACGACGGGATACTAAAATGAAACAAAAAACTATACTTTAGATATGATTTTGAAAAAATTGAAAGTATAGATACTAAAACGACTAAAACTGATAGTTTATATACTAACGCATAATTTACCCTAATGTTTTTAATATGTAGCAGCAATATATAAACAAGTGAGTGAGAGAGAGAGAGAGTATTTGAAAAGAAAAGGTAGTGGAAATAAAAAGGGGGCATAAAATCTGTGTATATACAGATAATATAATCTCTGATAAATCTCTACAAAATCTGATCCAGCGATGCAATAATTACTTGCCTTTGCAAAAACCTTAAAAAGAAGGAGGGGGGGGGGCAGTGCCCACATCTCTTGATTCTTCACCATCATCATCATCATCTCTCTCTCTCTCTCTCTCTCTTTGCTGCAAACACACACAAAAAGCTTGGGATTTTCAAAGCTAAAATGGATAACAGTTATCACGGTTCGTCGTCTTCGAGGAAAGGAAAGAAGGGCAACTCGGACAAGCCTAAGCAACCCCAGAGAGGCCTCGGTGTTGCTCAGTTGGAAAAGATCAGATTACATGGACAAATGGCTTCTTCTGGTTATAATAATAACCTTCCTCTTCATTATGGACCTTGCCCTGCGAGTTTCAACCAGGTGATTTGGATTTTCAGTGATGAAAATGATTTGGGGTTTGTTTTTTTTCGGGGGTTTAGATTTGATGGGAATGATTCTGTGGTTACTGTACGTGCAGGAAGATAACATGGGAGTGCAGCAGATGGGTTATTCATCAATGGCGTCGTCGTCGTCTTTTTCTTATTCATCGACATCACCAGCAGCTTCTTACGGTTTCCAGTACCCCAACACGATGGTATGTGAACCGGCACTCGGTCTCTTTGGACTTTGCTGTACCTAAACAGTTCCTTTCTGATTTTTCTTCGAAAAATTGAGTGCATTTTCTGTGTGTCACACTGTGAAATACCATCACAACGTAGCGTAACAGTCGTATTAAATGTAACGTTTTTTAAGGATACGGTACCAGTATTTATCATATGAAAACATAATTATTTGCATCCATCTGCAACTGCTGTCACCCTAATGGTGTACTGGTAGCTTATGATTTTACTTCTTTGTGCTAACCCTAGTCTCCCCATTGAACTAAATCTCCATTATTCCTTTGTCATACCCAGCACTGTTATACATGATAGTTTTTAATGTTACCGTGATATCGCAACCGCATTCGCAACATATACCGTAACTACAATTCAGTAGTATGATATTATATATTATTTTACAGATGGGGGTTGGCGAGTATGATCAAAGAGGGAACTTCAGATATGGTGATTCCCAACCAAGTACTACAGCAAGGTGCACAATCTGATTAATTTCCCATCTAAAAGAGCTTTGATTTTGATTTTGATTTGCTTGTTGTTTATTAATGTTTCAAATCATTTTGCTATTACAGTTGGAACACCAGCAGTGGCATCCTAGAGAGCCAACATTTTGCACAACCAAACATGACCAGACAACTTCTTAACCCACACGATGAGGTTTGTAATATTCACACACATGAAACATCCTTGTTCCATGGCATGTCAGGATTCTGTTCTTTTAGTTGATTTTTACCTGCATTTTTTGTTATAGGATTCGCGTTCAAGGAGCAAGAAACACCGGAGCAGCTCGTTGGGATCGAGCAGTCAAAATTCGGAATCGAGTGACACACAAGAGCTGGATTTGGAGCTCAGATTGTCATTGTAATTAATAATTTTTTTTCTATCAACTCGATTGAAAATGTTATGCTTTTCCTAGAAATTATAAGTTCAAGACAAGCAGTTTGAACCTTGCAATTCACATATATATATATATATATATATATATATATATATATATATAACTTGAGCAAGTTGATCATGGAAGTTGTTTGAAATTTTCTCTTATGTAATGAACAAGGCAAATTCGACTTGCTGAATGAGATATAGTGAAGGAAAATTTCCAATGATTTTCGATTTTCATCATTTAACTGTTCAAAAGACATGAGATTAAGTATTTTTAAGTGTTCAATATCCTTCGGTTTATAGACGGGAAAGAGAGTAGGAGTACTATAAATATCGTATCTAATATATTAAAAAAAAGAACATTTATATTCTAATGCATCGAATCAACTGCTAATCAACATTTCTATTCTATAATAGCAGCCCTTGCGAAAGAAAATTTTCACGTGCGAACACATAGGCGTACGATGTTCAATATTTTATGTTTTAAGATCAAAAAAATAACATATAGGTTTCACTGTCAATTCAATAAAATAAGTAAATGGATGGGATTTTAAATATAAAGGTTTAATTGAGCGTAAAAAGGAAAGGAAATTAGGGTTCATATTTTCTTAATTTATTTCTTAAACTAATTAAGTTTATTACGTGTATATACTTATGAAACCAATATTAAATCTGCTTTAATTAAGTGGCTTCATTCTTAATTCTTAATTAATTTGTGTCAATTCTTCTCTGTTTGTCCATATTACAAGTGAGCTTGACATGCTTGTGTCCTTTTTCACTATACATAAAGTTTGCAACTTTAATATGCAGTGAAAAAACTGTGAACACACCACTAGGAAACACAGCTCTGTTCAATATGTCAATCAAAAGATGTATAATTAGTCATCAATTTGACCCAAAAAGTTTTTTAAAAATGTTACTTTTGAGGTAATATAATCAACAACTATTATTTCAACCAAAATCACCCTCCTCAATAGCATCTTAGTTTTTGTTTTAATATGTTAATTTGGATCAGTTATTGTAGAAATTTATCATGGGATGACCTCCCTAACTTTATTTTATTTTATTTACAACGTCAAGATCCAAATATCTAATGTTGTTTAAGGCATTTAATGCTTCAATCCATTATATCAACTGATTATTCGTGATTTAAATTTTATCTATAGGGATGATAGTTTAACATGAATCTAACAATTCCGATCTTATCCAATATAGTTGGTTTATATATATATATATGAGATAGGACCATTGGATGAGAGAAATTAAATGTTGAGGTTAACAATAAAAAATGAAAATATATTCAATGGAAAAAACAAGGAGTTAAATCCAACGATCTTCAAAAAGTGTGAAATTAAAGGAGTTTTACATATTGTAAGTAAATCTAACCCTGAATATATTTATATTTATATCGAGGGAAATCATAGGCAAATATTAACTCGTTACTTTTTTTTTCCAGTGAATATCTTCTCATCCAATGCTCCTAAAAATGTAAAATTGAAAGAGTTTTTCATAATGTAATTAGATCCTGCCTCATATATATATATATATATATATATATATATATTCAATGTTCTTCTTTCTATAGTTTTTTTAATTCGTCTCTATTTTTGAAAAAAAAAAGATTTTTCTTTTTTATATTTGTGTTGAGTCGAGTTGGATGTAAAATTTTATCTTAAAATTTAAGTCGAATGAGACCTTCCTAAGTTCATATCAAATTCAAATAAATAAAATATATTTCTCGAATCTGGTCAAACTTATAAAAAATCAAACCTCACCCAATTGATGCCATCCTTACATATCATGTCCTCTAAAATAACAATAACAATACACTTTTATAATAAAGGATCAATTTAGTTCTAAGTCAATAACATAAGGACTTGTTTGACAATTTATCCGAAAATGAATATATATATATATATACTCTTTTTTTGTTAACAACGTTTACATACACACATACATTGAAGTGTATGTGCTTTTAGCATGGGTTTGGGAATTTAGATAAAACTTAACCAAAGTTTAAGTAAATATAAAGAGGGTTAGTGTGACATTGAAATTTGTATGAATCGAGTTAATTATGATATTATTGGGAATAAAATAATTTCTTGCAAAAATAATAAGAGTTTGATATTTTTTTGAAATAAACAGATTTTATACATTATTATTTAAAAAATTAAAATATATTAAAATATTAAAAAAAATTCACAGGAGTATTATTCCAATATATATTTTATAAAATTTATTTTTCAATATTAAGTTCCCAGGTAAGAATTTAAGTTCAAGTTTTTAAAATAATATTATTTAGAAAATTTGATATCAAGTACAAAAATGGTCTCCCGATTATAGGATATTGTTTTATTGATTCCCTTTACTATTAAAAGTTATAAAATGGTCCTCTGATTATAGAGAGTTTCTTTGTTGAGTCCCTCAACTATTTATTATGTCACAAACTCATCATTTTCTGTTAAAAAGTTAACGATCACCTGAGCTGAGCATTAACATATTGACTAAGATATGAAAGTCGTTTGAGATTATGAGATTAAATTATATCATATCATATCGCAGTCAACATATTAACGTACAACTCACATTGTCGTCAATTTTTTAACGAAAAAGGATGAGTTTGGAACATAATTAATAGTCAGGTGACTATTTTGTAATTTTTAATAGTCAAGGGACTCAACAAAGTAACTTTCTATAGTCAGAGGAGTATTTTGTAACGTTTTATAGTTGAAAGGCTTAATAAAGTAATATCATCCTATAATCGAGGGACCATTTTGTGTACTTTACCAAAAATTAATTAAAAATAATTTTAATTAGGACAGAAATTATCATTTTTATGGCCCATACCATACCTTATATGGCCTTATCCTTTGACTAATTTAAGACTCTTGCCAGATTAGGCATGGATAAGTGGCGCACTAATTATTTCTTTTCACAATATGGCCCAATTCGTCTTCCCTTGGTTTGTCATGTTTATATCTCATTCACAAGTAAACATGTTTTTATAAAATAAAATATAATAAATCAAAAGGACGAATCTTCACTGTAAGTTTTATTAAAAATTAAAGGAATAAGTTTACATTATAGCTCTTTAATTTTTGTTTATTTTAATTTAATTTAATTTAATTTTATAAAAATAAAAATTTTCAAAAAAAAATCATCAACAAGATATGTTACGAAATCATACCAATATAGACGGAATAATTAATTAGTGAAATAGGATATCTTCAAATATATTTTGGGATCTATGACATTTATTACAGTGGTTTAGAACTCGTCACGTGAGCATGTCGAGTTATAATAAAATATATATTTTTTTATTAAAATCTATCACATGAATATAACAAGTTCTAATTATAAAAGGTTGTACATTTTAAAACGACTCATATCCACCTGACGAGTTTAAAATTATTTTTGAAGCTATTATTATTGTGTTAATATTACCAAGATATATCGACTTTTACAATATCATCGGAAATGACGACTCTAATCTCCACTGTGATAATTATCTCATTTCCTTAATTAAATTTAGGGAAAAGTCTATAGACAGTCTCCAACCTTTTAGGGTTCTTAAATTTTGGTCACTCAACTTTTAAAACTTACAATGCAATCATTAAATTCTTAATTCATTTTCAGTAAGATCCCTATCGTTACCTTCCGTTAATCAATGTTGATGTGGCATGTTGCTTCCGTTGACCTTCTTCCTCTTCCTCTTCTTCTTCTCCTTCTTCGGTTAATGTTTTTGAGTTAGAAAATAGGTAATTATCTTTTTAGTCCATCGTTCTTTGTAAGCCTTTAATTTGCCCCTTTAATTCGAATTTAATCCTGATTTTCCTTTTAATTTTATCCCCAATTTCATTTTCTTTTAAATTGGTCATTTTTTTATTTTCACGTTTTTATTTATTTTTTATATTTTATTTTTTTTATTTTGTATATATATTTTTATCATTTTTATGTATATATTGTTTATTATTATTAATTTTTTTAATATATATTACTTTTATTTATTTATCTAACATTTTTTTACCTTTTAAGGGGTATGCTTTTAAACCAATCAGAGGTAAGCAATTCAAATCGAATGTTTTAAATTTAAGTTTAAATTTTTAATTTTTGCAATTAAAGATAATCAACAAATTAATTGGTACCGAAAGAATAATTCAAGAATGCTAATCCTTCATTGGCTGTAACCGACTCCCGAACCCGACACATTTTTAGTAAAACACAGATCAGGTAAGATGGTGTCCAATCCACCTAAATGTTTTTTAAAGTGATCGGTGGTGACTCTAACCCAATTTATTCAAGTCGAAGCCTAATTCTGGGCCCACCTAAAAGACGGCCGCGACATATATATTGAATTTAAATAAATTATTAATACTTTTTTAAATATACAATAAATAAAAATTATAGTTAAACTTGAATTCCAATTATAAACCCTTTACATATTAGAAAAAAAAATCATATGTCTTGTATAAGCTCAAGTCTTCTTGTATTTAAAAATCATAATTTTTACTTCTTTATACTTTTAAAACTTATATTGTTAATAATTTTTCCCGAAATTATTATTTTTTATGAGGTTTTTAGATCGATAAAACATATTATATCATCAAAGTAAATATATTTATGGCTGTCAGAAAATATTTATCATAATAAATTAAAGAAAATTTCTATAAATCATTACCCAAATGAGAAAGAAATTCTATATGGGATAACGGGCGAAATGGCCGAAAGAAAAAGAGTAGCTAGAACTTTTACTAGAACACCAGCAAAAACGTAGTAAAACAACCATTGTCCTAAACAAGAAGCTAAACATCATAGTACGACCTAAGCATGCGGTCAGGCATTGAGATTTCTCCTCTTCTTGACCGGTTCAACAGTATCCGTTCTTCTGGAAGTGATCTGAAAGCAAAGACCGTCGCTCCGACGGTGCCTAAACACCATCAACGTAACGAAGTCTCGGAGCGCGAGAAAACCATGATCGGTGCAGAATTCCATCCAGCCTTCCTTGAGGACATGGATTTTGTTCGACCAATGCATCAACGTCATCGAATACTCTTTCCACTCGCCATCGTAAACTTTCACAGGAATCCCGCGCCTTATATCTTCGTCTTCCTTCAATAACGGCGACACGGCGGCCGCTACGTATTCTTTAGGGATGGAAAGCCTGCATTGCTTCGAATTCACGTCGGTTGCAGTGAGCTGCTTCTCGAAGGGTTCGCTGCGCCTTCCGATGATGCCCTCGGCGATTCCATCGATTTCGGGGCTAATCGACTCATCAGAATTTACATCGGTTTCAGTGAGCCGCTTCTCAGCCGGTTCGCTGCACCTTCCGATGGTGGCAGCGAAATCTAAAAGCAAGTCGACAGTACTTTGATCGATTTCGGGGCTAATAGACTCATCTGAATTTTCATCAGTTTCAATGAGCCGTGTCTCAACAGGTTCGCTGCTCCCTCCCGTGACGCCATCGGAGCTTAAATGCAAGTCTCCACTTTCATCGACGTCGGGATGAACTGAATCATACATCATTGAAAGCATTTGAAGACAAGCCCTAAATTCTTTAGACATTCTCAAAACCCTTGATGTAGCTTCTCTTAAGAGAGAACGGAGGGAAATTTATAGGTTAAAGGTTTGATCTTTGTTAAACTTGTAATCAAACGATACACTACGACTGTATTTACTTTACAAGAAATAGAATAACAGTATAATTAAACTAAATTTCTTTTATAATATATATATATATATATATAATTGGAATTCAAGTCTTTATTTATTGTATATTTTTAATATTCTTATATTTTATTGTTATAAAAACCCTTGAATATTAAAACACTTTAAAAATATTATTTGAATATTTTATTTGGTTAATAATTTATTCTTATATAAACACTTGAATATTAAAAATCATATATCTTATATAAGTTCAAGTCTCCTTGTCTTTAAAAACCATATTTTTCACCTCCTTATGATTCAATGATTTATATTGTTAATATTTTTTTTCTTCAAAATCATGATTTTTTAGGTTTTTAGATCGATAAAACATGTCGTATCATTAAAGAAGATATATTCATGATCGTGAAACAAATTATCGTAATAGACTAAAAAATACTTGTCTTAAACCTGAAGAAGACTTCTATAAATCACTCTCCGAGAGAGAAATTCCCTATGAAAATGAGTATAGTATCAAGGAGAAGATTTATGGGAGCAAAAAAGAATTTATGTAAAACTAATAAAAATTTTGAGTGGACGATGAGAATAAAAAAATATAAAGAAATCGATTATTTTTTAATTCCTTTAAAACAAATTAAACCCACTGATAGGATTATTATGACGGACTTTAATGGTAAATGATTGATTGTTATCCGTAGGAACGAAACTAAGTTTGGTCATGGGGTCACAACCCAAATTTTTTACAATTTAAAACATATATATGGATAAATATCAAATTAGACCTTCTAATTTTAGTTTATTTTGGTCATGCCCCTCAATTTTATGGTTATATTTATCTCATTTTTCATGGTTAATTATACTTTTTCTGTAACATCCCAAACACATGGTTAGTGACCAAATTGTAAGATTTTAAAATTTAGTGACCAAATTAGATAAATTAAAAAGTTAATGTACTTATATGGAAAATTGTTTGTGTAGGAGTGAATAGCAAAGAAGGAAAGTTGGCAGGGAAGATTGGTCATTTAACAAGAAGATGAATTAAAAATTCATCTAATGTGTGTTATAAACACGTGGAGTGAAAATGAGATAGTTAAATGAGAATCTAGATTTCTCTCTTTCTTCATCCTTCCTCCCTCCTTTCCACCGTGAGCATATATCTAAGGCAACTTTGTTTTAAATGGAGTTTTTCTTGAATTCTATGTTTAGTTTTGGTCTATGGGGTGATGCATAAGTTTAAGGGAAGCTTAAAGGGTTATAAAAACTACAAGAACTACAAGTGATGAGTGATTAAAGAAAAGAGGTTTTGAATGAAATTTTGAGAAAGAGTTAATAAGTGAAGTTTGAAGCCATATTTAACTTTTCATCAGTAGGAATAAGATATTTATGAAGTTAGAAATAAAATTAGAACATGTTAAAAATTTAGTAAGATTCTTAGTTTCAAGAGTTAGGGTGAGATATTGAAGACGATGATGTGTTATTATGATATAAGATGGTTTGTGATAGTATAAATGAGGTTAAAGGTGAAAAAAATAGTAAAGGGAAGAATTTAGTAAGTTATTGGTAAATTTTCGGGATGTAGGAGTAATCTGGGCTTGTGGTATCGGTATCGGATGAACAGTACCAATACTACGAAGCATTAAGAGGGGGGTATTTGCGTATAAGCATCGATACTGGATGAACATTATCGATACCATCAAGCAAACGAGGGCAATTTCTTTAGTATCGGTACCATGAGTATCGATACCAACATGGAGGTATCAGTATCATTTTTATAGTGAAATTCCAGAATCAAGAATAGATATCGATACTGAAGTAGAGTATCGATACCACTATAGAAAGTATCGGCACTGTACCTTGAGTACCGATACTAGTCAAATGGAAATAAAGAATCAAGTGTCTTTTCGAGATTCAGCTTTGATGATTGATTAGTAGTGATTCAAATTATGATATTATAAGTATTTTATATTCGTGTAGATATCGAGCGAAAGTAAAGTCCGGACAAGTCGACTAGGTAAGAGTTACCAAGAGAGATAGATAAGAGACTAGTATTGACTAGTGAGGCCAAGATGAGTGCATACTATTAGATATATAGTTTATGGAAACAAGACTTGTGATAAGTCTATTTTCCACATTGACTTTATGGTTGCATAAATACATTCATGTGATTGATATGATTAGTATGAGTACATGAGTACATGCATAAGTTATATGTGTTAATATGTGGTTATATAAAGATTCAGTTGCAAGAATTATTGGACAAAGGATTTATCAAACCAAGTGTGTCACCTTGGGGAGCTCCGATATTATTTGTAAAGAAGAATGATGGTTCAATGCGTCTCTGTATAGATTATAGACAGCTCAACAAGGTGACCATAAAGAACAAGTATCCTCTCCCTAGAATCGATTATTTGTTTGATCAATTAAAGGGAGCTTTGGTATTCTCGAAGATTGATTTGCGTTCCGGTTATCATCAATTGAAGATTCAGGAAAAAGATATTTAAAAAATGGCTTTTAGAACGAGATATAGTCACTATGAATTCATTGTTATGACGTTTGGGGTAACAAATGCACCTGCTTATTTTATGGATCTTATGAATAGAATGTTTCAGCCTTATCTGGATCAGTTTGTAATTGTTTCATTGATGATATATTGGTGTATTTGTAGTCTAATGAAGAGCATAGTGTACATCTGAGGGTAGTTTTTCAAACTCTACGAGATAAGAAGCTTTATGCCAAATTATCTAAGTGTGAGTTTTGGTTGAATGAAGTGGGATTCCTTGGGCATGTTATTTCTGCAGAAGGGATTCGGGTTGATCCTCAAAAGATAAAAGCCATTTTAGAATGAGAAGTTCCAAAGAAAGTGTCTGAAGTCAGGAGTTTCATGAGGCTTGCTGGTTATTATCGAAGATTCGTTAAAAACTTTTCGATGATAGCTCTGCCTTTGACTAAGTTGATGAGGAAAAATGTACCATTTGTTTGGACTCTTGAGTGTCAAGAAAGTTTTGAAGCGTTAAAGAGAATTTTGACAGAAGCTCCAGTGTTGGTCCAACCTGAATTTGGCAAGAACTACGTGGTTTACAGTGACGCGTCCCATAATGGATTAGGATGTGTACTGATGCAAGAAGGGAAAGTGATAGCATATGCATCTAGACAATTAAAATCACGTGAGAAGAACTATCCAACGCATGATTTGGAGTTGGCTACAGTAGTGTTCGCTCTTAAGATTTGGCGTCACTACTTATATGGTGAACGTTGCTATCTCTATACAGATCATAAAAGTTTGAAGTATCTGATGACTCATAAAGAATTAAACTTGAGGCAGAGAAGATGTGTTGAATTTCTAAATGATTATGATGTCATAATTGATTTCCATCCTGGAAAAGCAAATGTGGTAGCTGATGCCTTAAGTCGAAAAACGTTTGCAACCTTACGAGCTTTAGATGCAAGGTTGTCATTAGATGGAGATGGTGGTCTATGTGCAGAATTAAAGCTTAAGCCAACATAGTTTCTGATCGAGATCCTCGATTCAAGTCGAGATTTGGAAATCTTTACATGGAGCGTTGGGAACTCGACTGAACTTTAGTACAACTTTTCACCCTCAGACGGACGGACAAACTGAGCGGACTATTCAAATACTGGAAGACATGTTAAGAGCATGTGTAATCGAGTTCAAAGGGTCGTGGGAAAAGTATTTGACACTTGCTAAATTTGCTTACAACAATAGTTATCAGTCAAGCATTAAGATGTCACCCTATGAGGCTTTATATGGAAGAAAATGTCATATGCCACTAAACTGATATGAGCTTAAAGATCGAAGTGTTCTTGGTCCGGATTTGATTCAAGATGTGGAAGAGAAAGTTTGGAAAATTCAACATAATCTCAAAGTGGCATTCGACCGACAAAAGTCATATTTTATAATCAAACAAGATATATTATAATCCTAAAAAATATCGTAATAAATCAAGATTACTCATCTTAGACCTGAAGAATAGTTCTATAAATCACTGTAGGAGAGAGAAATTGTCTATGAAAACGAGCGCAATGTCATAGAGAAGATTTGTTGCAGAAAAAAGAAAGCGTGTAAAACTAATAAAAATTTTGAGTGGAATGAATTAATTGGGTTAAAAGCTTTTAAAGAATCTTAAGGTCGATTCTAAGTTCTTCTAACATAAAATTATTTTTTATGAAGTTAAAGAAATCCATTAGTTTTTTTAATTCCTTTAGAACAAATTAAACCCACTGAATGGGATTAGTTAAAGAAATCGATTAGTATTTTTTTAATCCCAGTCACCGCTGTGTTCAGGCCGGTCTTTGATAACCGAGTGGCGCCGTACCGAGAACATCTTAGGCTTACCATTCAAGTTCACAGAAACAGCTTCTGCATCAGCACGCAGGCATTGGAATGATCATTAAAGAAGTTTTTTTTTTGAAGGCTTTGTCACTCTGAGTGAGTGCACCTCCACATCCTCAAATGCAAGAGACTGCACTCTGTAAACAAATACCAATTGCTACTCTGCAGAGTGCACTCATTCGTTCGAATTCAAATCATTGATCTTGACGGACTTACGATCATTTAAAGACGACAATTCCGTATTATACTCTCGTGACACCTTAACCCGAGTCGTGGCATTAATCTTATCAATCTTTAATGGTAGAAAAAGAAGTGGCTAAAGCAAGTAAATCCAGAAACACAAAATCAAGAACTTAATGCAAGTGCCAATGGCTGCTTGAAACTATGATCTGGTGAATCAATATTTCGGAGTGTTCAAAGATTAGCCAGATTGATTCAACAAGAGTATACAACACAGAGTGAAAAATGTATGATTAACAACGTAAAACAACATCAAAAGAAATTT